CATTGAAAAGTAGGAAGTTGGCTTACAACAAATAGGCGGCAGTTATAACAACAACATATTGAACAAAAACAATGTAGTATATAAAAGAAAAAGTTGCAAATGTTTTTTTTCGCTATTTTGCTATTTGAGTTGTACGTTTTCGAGCACTCATGCAGCCATCCAGTCAGTTAGGCAGTTAACTGTGTATAAATTGGCGATAAACGTACTCATACATACATATAGTAGATACTTACATACAAATAATTGGAGCGCGCAATTACATCGTGGTGTCTGTTTCGTTTTACCCACTTGCGCCCACCAACAACATCGTGCATAATTATGTACAAGACGACGCATTGGCCTACTCTGGAATTCACTTACTCACATACTTGCCATATAATACTATTATCAGCCCGTTTGCGATCCTCCTTTGTCGGCTGTCTGTCTGCTGTGCCTCTGTGCCGAGACAAACAATATTCGCATACGAAGCGTAGGCATTTTAATTGGAACGGAGTAACATTTGCCGCACTATTTTTAATTTCCATAACAATGCTGATTAATCGTTGTAATTTTTCGTTGAAAATTTTCCATTTATGTGCCTTTTATACACTTTGCACCGGTGTCTTCGCATGTGCGYGTAGAAATTCCTATATTTATCACAGTATTTCAGTGTGCTTGGTTTATACATACATAAATATATTTAACGATTTTTTTGGATTCTTAAAATATTATTTCCCAAATTTTCTATATTTTTTACTAATGTAAGTGGGGTCTTCAACCTAAAAAATAGCTGTAGAATTTTTTTTTAATATTTACCATTTTTAGTTAGTCAAAAAGTCCACCACAGCATAGTTATTCCCACAATTTGTTTCTATCTTCATAAAGTTAACAGCGACTTCTCTAAATACTTACTATTATCCTCAGGGATTCGTCGCATTATTTTAATACCGTAGTTTGAGAGAATCCCAATTGAAAAGTACTTTGATTTCTAATCAAATTGATGCCAACGGTTTTTTAATCGTCTAAACACTTTCCTTAAGCACTTTTTGTGGTGGTCTTCAACTCCTTCAGCGAATTTCGTTTAATCGCTTCAATCGACTGCAAACGGATCSGTTGATTGTTGACTTGTTTGCATGTCAAAATCATAAACTTAGGTGTCATCAGCAGTTATAATGCTCTCCATGAATGTGGGATCGGGGTCAGCATGGCCAAAGAGACCTGTTTACAGTGCTCTTTGAAAAGAAGCAAGAACACGTTTCATACCCAAAATATCCAACAAAATCATTCGAATGGACTCGCGTGAGATATCGAGCTCTCTTGCCATCTCTCCAACACTTCCCCGACAATTTTCAAGCACCATATCCTTCACGTTTTTAATATTTCATYAGTTGAAGAGCTCGAAGGYCGTCCATAAYGAARTATGTCTTCACCGATCTCTCGACMGTTTTTGAARYMTTTGTACCACTYGTAGGATTGTGTTTTTGATAAAACTGAATMATATTTTCCAAATTTTTTGTTATATTTGGATATTTTTATCCATTGTAAAAATTGCAACGKACAACGAGGTGTACCAAGRWTTACCTTTACCAACTTGAGAATTATACTCAATTTAAGGTGTGTGTCTTTACTAAAAWGCGAAATCAGAGCGCGGAAATGTAGGCAATACTTACAATTCTTTCTACTGTGTTTGCTATTATAAGCCAACGCCGAAATATAGGCAGTATCTCAGGATAATCAGAGTCAAAGCGCCTAAATATCGGCAGTATTTTCTTATGTTTCCGGTATTTGAATACCAACATTTGGGTTTTATACGTCGCGGGARAAACGAATGTRYCAGTTGCCAACTATTTGAAAATCGMTGTTTCARACGTTTCGTCACACTCATYTGAKTGGTAACATAAACCRCACGTGAAAGCTATGAATATAATAAATTCTCTTTTATTTRCTATATTTTAAATTTTATTTAGCTAATTTTTTCCATTTTTCGCTTCAAGATAAATTGCGCAAACTCTTCCCWCTCGTCACTATATTTGCATTCCAATCGACGCCAGGCAACAAAAGGCTTCCGCATCAATTTGCTGACTATCAGCTGATGATTAGTTCATATTCTTTTGCTTAAATACTCATTGGAATATTTTATTTTGTCATAACACAATTGTTTATTTACTTTCCGTACATATTTATTTGTTTTACTTATATTTTTTTAATATTTATTTTTCTCTAATTTTTATTTTCTTCGTTTTGTTATGATTTCCTCAGGGCTGCTGTCGTCACGTCCATTTTGCTTTCACTCGAAGCGTGTCAAAAAAATCGCTTGAATGCGCATTTGTTTTGACCGGCTGTGCTTCGCTACCAAGAGGCCAGCCAATACAGAGCAAAGCAGTGATAGTGATTCGCCGCACTCACTACCGCCACCCGATCGGTTACAGAATAATAATGAACACTTCAAGAGGAATGTCATAACGACCAAACCGCCAACTAGCAGTAATCGCAAACCCGCCCCGCCACAATCAACTAATTTGTGGKTAGTTAGCCATAGYAATAGCWCAAATAACGGTAATAGTGGTCAGAAGTATACCCATGCACCATTTGGTCCCGGCAYCATACTCAACACACTAGATCCACCGGCAGCAATACGCAACGGCGCACAAACCACAGTTSCGTCAACAACACCACCCAACACCACTAACGGTTTGAACGCACTGAACACAACCTCAACCACCACAACAACACCAGCAGCAGCGGAGAGTATAGCARCCGCAGATTCTTTGGCGGCGACAACCAAAGCCACGGACGAACGGCAATCGTTCCGCCAAAAGTCAACAAACGTTGTTGGAAGAAAATCAACAGCAACAAATTGTAGTGAGAACGAGGAATATTATCGATTTAATAATAGCACAGACAGCGGCATTGGCAGCAGTTTAAGAGGCAGCGGACGTCGAAATTGTCTAGCGAAAACAAACGCGTACAACGCGGTCAGTGCCAACGAGGTGCGAGAAAGTAGCGTCTCCGCTGCGCATCCCGACCCGAACGCCTCCGCAGGCAACGACAACAACAGCACCGTTATCGAAACGAACGCGTGTATAACAGTTCTGCGTACKAACGCCGCCAACGTCACGGCCAACGGCGTTATCGCTTCTGAAGAGACCGAMAACGCGAACRCAACTGTARCTGGGCAAGGGGCAGGAGAGGCTGYCGTTGACGCTGAGSAAATAAGCGAAAACGCCGCCAACATGCAGCAGGAGCCGAACGCCAATTTTCAGTTCCAACCCGATCTGGGACTGGTGAACAACAATAGTTTGCCCGCGCTCACCGGACTTGGCAGCAATACKGCTGCTATACGTACGCTTACGTTACCCTTACAGCAAGACGTGATCACGCAAACTTTCATTTACGGCGCCGTACCGCCATCCGCCGCGCAACACACCAATTCATTGCAACAACAAGAGCTACAATTGCAACATCGCTACCATCAACTGCAACAGTTGCAGGCGCAAACACAAGGATTATTCCTGAATACGAACGCACCCGGCACCGTTGCTGCTGCTGCTGCGGCCGCAGCTGTTGCACAAGGCGGCGGCACATCCTTTGTGGTCGGTTCACCGTCACAACTCTTCGCGACTGCCGCCCAAGCGGCCGAATTTTGTGCGGCACAACAGCAACAGCAAAAGTTGCTGACCGAACAAATGCAAGGACTGTGTATAACGGGCGGCAATGCCGCACCTACCAATGCAGCGCCAACGGCTGCGCCCACCATAAACTCACTACTCGATTCCTCGCAGACGATGAATATTCTCAATAACAGTTATGTGCCCACATCGGCGCAGGAGGAACGCTTCATGCAGGTAATCCAGGCGAAAGAGTTGAAAATTCAGGAAATGCAACGTGCACTGGTGCAAAAGGATACCGAGATCGCCGAACTGAAATCACATCTGGATAAGTTTCAAAGTGTGTTTCCATTCAGTCGTCACGCCAGTACGGCCACTACGCCGGGCGCTGGTGTGCAGCAGCGTAAAAGTGGTCAGGCTTATCAGCGACAGCGCGCGCAAGGCATCTCTGCGGAGCCGCAAAGTGAATCCTCAGTGTTGCTGGARCCGGGCGCWTTGCCGAAATACGATAAGGATGAGAGGTGAGTGAAAGTGAAACATTTATAAAGATAGTGTTATGAAAAGTAGCGAAAGGATAATCCGACATGGATTTTTTATAACTCGTAAAGCGGCTACGTTGCTATAATTTGAATCCTTTTCGAAAATTCTCCATAACTATTATAAACATCACTTTTAAATGGTTAAGCATTTTGAATTTTTATACCTTTTCGAACATACTACTGTACTCATGCAATCCCTAATCACCAGTCCAGAGCAGTACAGATGCTCTACTGTTAGTAGTTTCGGCTACGAGGYTYCTTGGRAAAAAWMGGRGTTGTTGTGGCTTAATACCAGTATGTGGAGTTMATTGCAAGCGGGTACCGGACGCAARGTACGGCATAGGTTTTARMTGGRTATCGAACCCTRCCATGGTGGTTAGTGTGTCCATTCCACCACTGTGCGYTTGAGCGCCTTASGGTAAGGCTATCGTCAGCAGGTACTCACGTCAAACAYACCAGAGGTTGATTCTGATTTTCTGAATGATATAACAGCTCTTGAATCTGTTCAGGTTGCGTTCGTCCCAAATGCGCAAATTTTGCTTGTTTACAAACCCATTGAGCCAAAAATCAGCCTTATCGCTGAACAAAATTTGTCTCGAACACGTCGGATCTCCTTGAAACTTTGTAATTTTTGTTTACGAGCATGAATATGCTCTGCTCAGCACACATATTTTCACGTACGAATTTCCCGAGAGGAATCAAAAAATATATTTTTTTTCACTTGCCATGTTTTTTTTTTATAGTGCTCTTTGCTCTTGTGTCATTTGGAAATTTTTAATGAAATATTTTATTTTTAAACATTTCAAAAACCTGTGATCCGCAGATTAATTACGAAAACGTTTAGTGTGCATTTATTATGTTTGTGTTATTTTTATGGCAGATTTAATATTTTTTCTAATTTCCAGCTGTCACTTCATTATTTTTGGACAAATCAAGCAGTTAGTTAGTTGGTCAGCTTAGTGACTTTGTTGTGGGCTAATGCGCCACGTGTAGGCGACTTTTATTAAAAACAAAAATAAAATATACAAACAGAATATATGTACATATCTTTATACGTTTCTTTTTGTTTAGAACTTTTTTGCGTTTATTTTTAAACGTTTTCTTCTCGCACACGCACAAAAGTTCCGCAACAAAGCCGATTCATGAATAGATATGCTAAAGAACTGTATATTATATTTATGTATATATGTATGTATGTATATAAGATCTTGTATGAATATGCATACCCATATACATTTGTGTGTATATTAAGGTGGGTCAAAAAAGCCAATATTTTTTATGCAACACTTGTTTGTTTTATGGCTTCACAAAGGATTGTAAATAGCAATCCACGTATGATCTCTCAAGATCAACCATCTAACCTAAACTAACCTATTTGTAGAGCAACAAATTTCCTACAAAACTATAAGTCCTGCAATTTAAAATGACTTCTTTCATTGAATTATTMAATTCATAAGCAAAAAATACTTCTTTTCATTAAAGAAATCATTTTTTTCAAAAGATCTTAATACCAGTWAAACGGCTAGCTTTACGAAAAAGTAGTGAAAGAGTATTTTGTAGAGCAATCAATTTCCTAAAAAATCTTTGCAGCGAGATATTTTTTCAAGTAGTTGGCAGCGAGTTATGAATTTTTCTAACTGATAATAAGAAAAAATAGGAAACTGTACGGCGGAGAACCTTTCCGTATCAATTAAAAGCGCCCATACCTCGAGAGATTTTCTTAGCGATGTCTAAGAACCTATTTTTCAGSGTATGAAGTGAAAAAAGTGCACTTTTTCGTTTTGATTTCACCCACCCTAGTGCATATGTATCTATTTGTGATTTGATCTTACGCTTCCTGTACGCCAATTGAAGGCTAASGCCTARCCATTAAACACTGTTAATTACAAAKTATCTTTATRTGTTTGAGTGCGTTTTCGCTAACTTAATTTCTCGCGCTGCCAGCTTTTATTTGCAACATTGTTTAACAATAATATTTATTCGTCAGRCTTTGGTGGGAGTTTATTTTTTCATCAACTCGTATTTATTTATTTTCTGTGCGTGCTGCCGCTATGCTTCTTCTCCTCTACTCTACATACACACATACATATATATGCACTCATGTATATATTGAACAATAATGCCTTAATTTCCTTTTTAATTGATGCACATCGATGTGAGTATCAATTCTGCTGTGGCTGCCACATCGACAGGTTGTTGAAAGCACTTGGCGGCCACTTAGCAGCGCCTCACACACAATTAAACCTAAAACCATATTTATGCCTTCATGCCACATGTGTGAGCCTTTTATATAAACTCATGTTGCTTTTAAAAAGTTCAATTAGCTAAAAATAGTTTATATACTCGTATTGCGATAAATATTTAGGCTTCACCCACTTGGAAGGCTTCTTCTGCAAAATTAACAATTGAATTTGGGCTTAATGGCGYGTTGCTGGTTATTCTCATTAGCGTTTTTAATTACGCCAAATACAAACTGTATAATAAATTGTGTGTGCAACAACAAAAACAGTGGACTCAAATAAATAGTTGCTTAATGAGATTTTCTAATTCTAAGGAAAATGTGCTATATTTTACTTGTTCTAAGTATACTCTTAATTGTCTTAGTTTTTAGATTTCACGTTATTCGTTGAACTTCTATATATATATGCTTTTTGAATGCATTTTGAAAACTCTGGCACAAATTTTGTGCCTTTTAATACCTAGAGTGGGTCTTAATGCTCCTAAAGTCTTGTGTCTGCTAAATGCAAATCTGACGTCATAATTTTCGGGTTAACTTAAGGCTTTTAAGTGATCCTTTCCAGATGTTAGCTCTGACACAAATTTTGTGCTATGATACCCTTTTCTGGTGTAAAACTTATAGCAGCTATATTTAGAACGAAACCTGAAGGCCTAATCACCGTACTTAAATAGCTCGGCGGCAATCCCCCGCCACTTTGTTGTTCTTCAGACGGTTAATTACTATTCGAACTTCGTCATGGTCGGGCAATGGAACAACCGCTCCATCGCCTTCGATTGGGGAATCGAGTTCATCTCCTGGTGTTATGCTTTCAATGCCATTCAACAGAAGTGTTAAGTCAACTCGAATTAATGACACTTAATCATGAAAAATTTAGGACATTTTACTACTGTGGCTAGAACATTGTTGGATATAAACAAACTTCAAGTGTAGTTAATGACACTTATAAAAGAAAAAACCTTTCATGAAGATCATTATCTTGATTGYGATATATATTATATTAAATAAACTAATTGTATGACAGCTAAATGCTACAATGGTACGATATCGGCTGTTCYGAMAAATGAACCGCTACACTAGGGGAAAAAAGAACTTGTGGAAAATTTCAGATCAAAATCTCAAATAAATGAAAGATTGATTCGTATATATGCAGACGTACAGACTCGGTACCTTCAATAAAGTATCRATATCCGAAATGTTCTTATTTTTCRTGAGATATAACTTAGTTATCGAATGGCGGATATTGCTTTTGAGTTCACGTACCATATGAAGTGATACTGTTTTGTAAACCTAATGTCTATTTTTCATAACAATGTGATTCTTGATTGTTTCATCATAGCTGTCTCATCCGCTGAAAGCTTCCAGCGTCTCACCATCCTCCGCGCTTGCTCTGCTTTCCGGCGWACCCACTTTTCCCATTTTCTGAATATGACATCATCAGGGTAGGTGTTCTGAGTTAATCTTTTTTGGTCTGTCCACCATTAACACTATTCCAAAGTAACTTTGTGATATACCCTGTGTTTCTTATGTTCCTATACTTCTGATGTTSCTCTAGGGTCCATTGGTACAAAGAATCCTTGAAGAAGCTGAATGATCTGCGGCAGCTAAGGGGAATTGTGTTTCCAGCTACCCCGAGCGGACCAACTCGTCTATCTTTATTATTCTTATCTTATTCGTATTCTTGAYTAGGTACCGAGATGATATTAACCGAGTTAACTGCATATAATCCAGTTATTGTCGGTACGGATAGCCTTAATTGACGCTATCCACCAAAGAGTTTTTTGGATTTTCTAGTTAGAGCAGAAGCCTACTTGGCACCTTCTGTTATGTCCACGATGTCGTCCTGAAAGACTGACTTGTAGTAGTTTAGTTTGAAGCTACTATCGGTGTATGGATTACCACAGCAGAAGCACGCTCCTGTTCCTATATCACCTCTTAGTGAGTGATTAAAGGATCTAGGTCTTGAGGATCTGAGACCCTAAAATAACACGTTTCAGCGAGCTGAGAACGTAATAAAGAGATCTTCAGCGACATCCTGAACAAGGTTGTGTGCTGAGTGATTAGATAAGGTAGCAGAAAGTTCTATAATTTCTATTTTTCTTGATTTGGTCTGCTCTCTGCTATGTTGCAGCGCTTTTCGCACAAAACGCTCCCCTGGTTTTACACCACCTCACCTAGGTTGTCTATATCTTAGAAAATCGTCTATGAAATCCTACGATAAACTAGGCGCTGTTACATCTTTTATAAGTCATTACCTCATCGTCGCTGGAACATTTTACATTATGCCGGCTGCAACAGGCGCATCGCCTTTACAAACAAGAGTCACACACACACCCATATACACATGGCTATAATGCCGATTTACCCATCAATTATGTAGATGCATCAATTTTCCAATAAAACTAATCGATATTGCAACAAACGGACAGGCGGCAATTACAGTGGCAATTATAAATGGAACAACAACAATAAAAAATACAAAAACATAATATTTGTTCCACTTTCCGTTAATTGTATAACAATTTGGGCCTTTCAGTGTGCACTTCAAAAACAATGTGGCCACAAAAAAAAAAATTGTGATAAATGAATTTGAAAATTGTGTGCGAATTTTTCAACGAAAAAATAATAATAAATTATGTAAAAAAAAATGTATTTAATATATGCGTAAACAATTTAGAGTAAAATTGTATTTGAAATGGCAAAAATTTATGCGCTCGAAAGACCGAAAATAATTTTTGGCGTCCAA